GTGCAGACAATTCACCAGCTCCTCTGAAATAGTGGGCAAGTGCCCAGCTAAACCTTTGAATATCAGAGCGCTTAAGCAGGCCCTTGAATCTATGTTTGGCCACATGCACACTCAGCTTTTGATCTCAAATTCACACTTGTCATTTGCATCCGTATTGGTACAAGGATCTCAGGAAACTCCTCTTCAGGAAAAGGAGGCTTCAGAATAGGCCAAGGTCTTAAGTAGTCTCAGCTGTGTCCCAGCAAATGCCTGTAGTTCTGATTCTTACCCCTTACGCAAAAGCCCAAACAAACATAACAAGCTCTTATAATGAGTTGTAAAAACTTTTTCAGAAAGTAAACAAGCCTTAACAGCAGGAAACAGTATTGACAATAAAGTCTTACTATGTTTTAAAAGGACCCTTCAACAGCATTGTCTTTAATGACTGCAACTTTTTATGCCTTAACCCTTCCCCCGTTTCCTAGCATGCAATCCAAGCCACTTTTTATTATTGCTAGATGAAACATTGGAGCAGTCAGGGAGGAAAGGGAGGAGGGGAGCATAAAGAATAAGAATCAGAGTGAGTGAATAGGAAGGAGAAATTGTTTTCATTTTTAAGAGGTCTGTCTTTGTTAAAGTGAGTTAAACCTAGGGCACGTCTTGCATGCAGCTGCCCAGAAAACCTAGAAATGGTTAAGCACGAAGAGGCTGTCAGCATTTGCTGTTATAATTGCCCAGAAAGCATTCTACATTTTAGTTGAATTGATTTAAAACTATTTGGGCATCCTTACACTTCCAATTAGTACCATGCTTTTTGCCTCTGGTGTCCTTCAAATATTCATGGATGCCTCCTTTTTCTGCCATTTCCCCATTCACCCTCCTGCCTCGCTATCTTAGCCTACTACTACTATGTTTTTTATGTTAAGCCTTCCGTTTGTGCTGCTGGCAGCATGGGACTTTCAAATAGGAAATGTTGAGAATTTTTAATTCCAGATACCATGAATAATCATAGGGCCACAGCGTAGAAATGTTTCTCTAATAGACTTGACTGTTAGATGCCATGCAAAAGCTGGATTAAAATTCATTGGACCCAGGCAGAGAAAAACTTTGGGTCTACCCTAGAAAGGCATTTCTTGCATCCCCCAGAGGGGACTGTTTTTCTTTGTTTTGTTGTCTTTCAAAGTAGAGATCCCTTTCTTCACAG